GGCTGTTAGATACATATAATATATTCGCGTAACTAATATACGAAGTGCGTTCGTGATATAAAGAAAAAGAGCCGAAACAATTTCAACAAAGCGTCAATGGAAATTAATATCTTTACCAATTTTTTTTTTTTATGATGAGTTCACACATGCAATTTCGCAACAAAGAGATCATTATCGTTGCCAAGAAATACATACCAAGTTTCATGGGACATGTTAAAAAGATCCGAACAAAAACTAATGAATGATTTAGGATCCAAGGGATCAGCCTTATTCTGGGTTTGACAACTTATTACAAAGTATATTTAATAAAATATTGAGAAATTTAAAAAAAATACCACTTTTTAAGTAAGTGCCACACTTTTGAAATCTTTACAAAAATACCATTTTTTAAAAATTATTTTTTTTTATATTATTTATGTTTGGGTTAGTTATGTTCTATTAGGATTTAATTTTGAGTGTTTAGGGGGTTTTAGATGTCAAAACATTTTTTAGGGTTTAGAATGTTAAAATATAGATTTTATAAATCTATAATTAGTGGTATTTTTGTAAATGGACACTCCTAAGTGGTATTCTTGCAAATGTGCACACAAAAAATGACATTTTTATAATTGTCTCTAAAATATTTGCAATGTTAACCAAAAAAATAATAATATTGGCAATGGAAAATTGCGTAACGGATCCAAGTTCGGAATTTGGGTCATGCTCAATTTAGAGACTCGGGTAATTCATATGATTTTGAGAAAAAGTAAAACAATTTTAGATTTTTTTAAAAAGAAATTAGATCACTTTTCTTACTTTGATTACATATTAACCATCTCATATAGAGATTCAATATGACTGACAAAAAAAGTTCGGATCAGATCGACTGCCCTGTCCTGAAATGGAACACATCCAAATTTTACATTTTTAAAAATATTAATGAATATGTTTACTTTGAAAGACACATTTTTTGTTGGTTAAGAAAGATAAGGAAACTTTATATTTTAAACATGATGATTAAAATACGTTTTAATTGATTATGATACGTATATTATAACCTTTTTCAGTCTAATAAAAACAAAATCTTTTTAGAAAAGTAAGATCAATGCAAACGATTTCTTTTTAGCAGGGTGAATCCTTTGAGGGGACTAATCTTTTTAGAAAAGGCCACATGAAAAACACAACTTATTCCTCACTTTTTTGTTTTTGTGGATGTTTTGTTCACAGTTCCGATGTTTTCTGCTCAAACGTAGGATCAATGCAAACGATAACCTGCGTAAATTTTTGAATAAAAAGTCTTATTAACACATTGCATAATGGATCAAGAAAAAGCTCTGGAAAATGGCTTCTTACACTGCACCGAGACTATCAAATTTGTATGTTTTCATGTTCATTAGGATCCATGAAACCTTTATAGATCTTCACATTTTCGAACTAGGATTCTAGTTTTCAAGAAAAGGATGTGTGGTTTCGTCATCTGAACATTTTGATTAGTAAAAATGTGATTTATTACCTTCCCAGTGCTTTTACCCGAATGGAGATACTCAACAGCATCTACAACAGAGTTTAGACCTATAAACTTTTTCTGATCAATTCTAACCTACCAAAGTGAAAAAACAAAAGTGTTGTTACAAAAAAATTTTAGTGAAGTAACAAAACTTAATGTATTGTAAGCAAAAGAAACATGGTTTATTAAGGGTATTTACCTTAAGCTGTCCGAGAGAGTAAAGATGGAATAACTTGTCAAGATTTTCTTTCCATAGTTGACTATATTGCACCAGAAAGAAACCAGCCTGAAAATTTTTGGTGTTTGTTTAGTTATAACATATCAATTCAAGTAATGAATATAGCAGTTTGAAATTCAAACAAACATTGTTAAACTCAGACAATTTCTTAGATACCAAAACAAGGATTATAGGCAAAAGATAGGGACCAAAGCCAATAACATGGATGGTTATTTCAACATACCAAGGTTTGGCTTTTTGCTAGAATTTTCTCGCAGAGCCCGGGATAGTTTGCTGGTTGCCATCCTTTCTCACCTTGATACTGCATGTTGAAATCATGTTATATATACTACTTTGGCAATTTCAAAACCAAAATTCAATAGATGTATACCTGAGAGATCATTCCAATCACGATGAGTCGACCGTAAACAGCAAGAGAATTCAAGCACAAATCGAACATTTGACCACCAACAGATTCATATACAATATCAACACCATTTGGAAACTCCTTTTTCAAGATCTTAGAGCGTGAATAATATGTCAATTAGCCATATATACTAATTACAAAAACAAAAACTAGAGTTTCTATTTGAGACCAACCGTCTCGATATCCTCGGCTTTATAGTCTATGACTCGATCAACCCCAAGCTCTTTCAATAACTTTTTTTTCTCTGATCCTCCACAAGTAGCAATCACCTTATTTCCTGCTAACTTTGCAAGCTGTATAGACAAGAATCTCTCAAATCTTATTTTTCAGCTCACATAATACTTTTACAAATGAAATAGAGATGATATGATCAATACTTAAACCTATTGAGTTGTGACAATCAAACAACACTAGAGGACATAAAAGTAGCATAGATTCATACAATTAACATCAGTTTTTTATACCTGGACTGCGAATTGTCCAGTCCCTCCCGCAGCAGCAGTCACAAGAACTGTTTCACCTGATTTCATTTGTCCTGCCTATGGAAATGTCAAACACAATTAAACTTAGCAACCGAAGAATATCCGATAGAGCTCGTTCATATAGTAAACAGAGAGGGGAATGAAAATAAAGAACAAGCTGTTGCATGGAACTTAGTTATTAAGGCGTCAAGAGAGAGAATTTTCATGAATGAAATCGAAAGACGAACAATAACTACCTTTTCGAGGGCGATTAATGCAGTTAACCCTGAGGTAAGCATGGCAACAACTTCTGGATCTGGTCTTGGAACAGTAAGCACATGCTTAGAAGAAACCTAAATCCACAAAAAGACATGATCGTACATGATCACTCAAGCTTGAAAAATCTCAATAAATTGCTCATATAGTTTAAGAAATAATCTCATACAATCATGTATTCGGAATATGCTCCAAATATCATAACAGCAGCTGGAGTCCCAACTTCCAAATTCTCAACAGCTTCTCCCACCGCTGCAATTAGTCCAACTCCCTGCAAAACTTGCATTTTAGAATTTTGATGTAAAGCATTGTACCAAAAGGCTATAGAAGTTGAATTGAACAAAAATATTACTTCGAATCCCGCATCAAACGGAAGCTTCGGACCATCGTTTTGGGAAAAGTAACGACCTGAGCTGAAGTTTACCTGTTCATGATATACAACAAAGACCAAAAAAACGTTTAAATTTCACAGTTGATGGACATGTTAGTAGCATATTAACTGAGAAGAAGAGAGAATATTGAACAGAGGTAAACAACGATAAAAATCAAGATATCAAGATCTTACATCACTTGCGTTAACACCAGCATAGAGGATTTTCAGGAGAACTTGGTGTGGTCCAATAGGTAATTTTAGTGGCGCGCGGACAATGCGGGTAGCATTACGGAAATTATGAGACAAGGTGTGTACAATCCTGAAGGAGAGAGTAGTCTTAAGAGAAGTTATAAATATAACATTAATTCATACGCCTATGTTCTGTTCTCACATATTAACTTACGTTTTCTCGAAGCTTTGTGGAAGTTCAAAATTTGAAGATACTTTAAAGGAAGGTCCATTTTTGGAACTTGTACCAACCAAGGCCTTTGCCTGTTCCATTTGAGGCGGCCAATACTCAAAACCCCGACGCTTGGTAATCCATAGACACGCTCCGTCTTTAGTCTCATCGGTTATAAGCTCAAAAGCACCTAGAGCAAAAAAATGACAAACCCACGAATCTCTTGAGGTATCATTCCTATACCAGGAATACATTGCAATGAATGGTCGCTCGTATGAACTAAGACTTAACGATAGAAGATAAAGGAGAGGATATTCAACACTCCATAAAACAGAGTTAATTACAGTTAACAAAGTGTTAGCATTCCTATGTTCCAATTCTTTCTGCATTGGACTAATTCTCCACACTTTACTTAACCAATCAACCATGTCAAAGAAAGCGTAAAATGACAATTGTTTCCTCAATATGAAGACAAATCATAGAAAGCTTGAAAATTTCAGCAGAAGTATGTAACCCCTATGATGAAGTATAATTCAAAAATATGGCACACACACCTTTAACCAACAAGTCCATAGACATGAAACCACCTATTGACTGAATGACTGAATCATCAATATGTTCGGTTAAATCTGTCCGGATAAACTGCACAACAAAAAAGACTTGAGGAAACAATCATGTAAAAGAACTTGAGGAAAACTTGGACACATTCATAAACTCTTCTTACTCCAGGGCAAAGCACATTGATACGGATCCCTTGACCCCTAAAATATGCTAATGATCTAGTGAATAAGACGACACCGGCTGTAGAAATGTAACATATTAAGAAAAATTAGAGACTGTATGATTCAATGAAACTTATGAAACAACATAATAACAAAACCTTTAGAGGCAGAGTAGATAGGATCCGTTGGCATCGGAAAAAGACCCGCTGATGAGCTCATATTAATGATAACTCCGGGGTTTTGTTTCGCTTTCATAGCTTTGATCTACGCAAAATCGAAGACGATATCGTCAATTGGAACACATAGAGTAAAAACCTTTAGGGAAAGAGAAGTGAAACACTTACTGCAAGCTGTGTGCATTCAATTACTGCAATCAAGTCCACATTAATGGTGTGTTTCCATGACTTAGATCCATCAGTGTCGTCTTCATCAAACGGTACAGGATTGCAAATCCCGGCATTGTTAATACATATGTCCAATGCTCCAAATGAAGCTAAGTGCTTCTCGAAAGCAGCGACGAGATCTCCTAGTCTCATATTATAGAGAATCAATACAACAAACACTAAGACAAAGTCTATGTTCTCATTCTCAAATTACATACTCACCTCTTTTAGTCACATCACATTTCACAAAGATAGCAGAAGGAAAGATTATCTCAGTATGGAATTTAGCGTTTGCGTTTTGAACAAGCGAAGTAGTCTCTTTTCCTTTCTCCTCGGAGAAATCAACAACAGTTACAAAAACTCCTTTCTCTGCAAGAGCCAAACAAAGAGCTCGACCTAACACACAAAAATTGAAAACATCTCATTACCAACAAAAGAAAACATTGTAGTA